TGGGGGGAGTGGGAAGCATGAGCAGGCCAGGGGGTTGTAGGGCGGGGGGGTGAGGGGCCTTTCATTTTAATTGCGGCTTTTGGGGTTTGGGGGTTTTTATCAGTGAATTTTCAATTTTTTACGACAGAATTTGTGGATTTTTATCACAGAAAACCAGGATCTCTGTTTATCAACAAAAAATATAGTGACACATCTTGTTTATCAACAAAAAATATAGTGACACATCACATATTTGTTGGGGCAACATGTGCCAATTAGTATGAGTTGGAGCAGACTCATTAATAGAGTTCTATCAATTAGAGTGCTCCAGCAACCTCAGTGTCACATGTATTCAGCATCCCCACATTTGAAAATGGCAGTGGGGGTACTTTGAATAAAGATTGTTGAAGTAGCTTTAGTTAAAGCATCCCCACTGCCATTTTGAAGTACAGGATACTGAATCTATGAGACACTGTGGGTGTTTTAATTAGAGCAGCTCCTAGACTATTTAAAATGCCCCCTCTATGCCCACCACAGAGCATGTGTAAAGACATCCAAAGGTATTCTGATGGTAGCTTTCATTCAGTATATCCTGTTGAAGCTATTCCACTGTGAATAAATAATTAAATACTGAATGACAGGGAGAGAGTATGCACAGCAAGACAATGGCCTAAAAGTTGGGATATTAGCCCATTTACATTGGCAACAAAATTTACAGGTTTCGAACCAGGATCCAGTGAGTTTGTTATCTCCTCCATGATTTTGTGAAAGGCACCTATGTCCCCTTTGAATCTATCCCAAAAAGTCAAAATTTTATGCTAATACAGAAATGAATCACTTCAATGCTACAAACTTTCAGCTGCCAAAAAATTGCCCATTATAGCAAAAATATGACCAGTTCTAGTCATAAACTAAAACCAGAAATTTTTTTAAGCTGTTGAATTTCAAGAAACAGACCCTTTTTTTGCACATAAAAAGCACCTGTTTGCATTTCATTAACTTACTAAACAGTCTGCCATTTTCCACCGACAGCAGAGAAGCTCAACATCTGCAAACTGTGGAGATTGCTGGCTCTGCAATTAGCAGATCAATATTTAAAATGTCTCTCTTATCACTCTGCTTTGACAAATACCTGTAAGCATCAAAGATCTATGCCCCAATAGTGTGCTTCCATTAATTTTGCAAAGCTACACACAATGCACATTTCCATATTCAGCTTATTTCAAACTTCTCAAAGTACTCTGAAGGGTAAAAAAAAAATCATCTCTTTAAGAATGTCCTTCTTCCAAAGGTAGTAAAACAAGATGTATGCTGTAAAATAGAGCTGTAGCTAGAGCTAGTTAGGAGGATAATGTTTTTTGGGAGGACGGAAGGAGAAGAGGGAAACAGGAACATAAGACTGACAGGTTATATGGTGAGCAGTGTATTGGTATCCAGCAAGGGTGATTCAGGTTCAAGCCTGATTTGGAACAATCAGGAATGAGAAACTGCTCTGGTCCAGGCAGAACAGATGATTGAAACTTGCTCTCAAACCCTCATGCTGTTGTTCTAGGGCACCTATACACAGGACGAACATCTGCTCTGATGCGTGCTAATTAATATGCAGCAAACCAAACTTGATTTATCAAGTCTGCCATCAGCCTGCTGGAATATGCTAATTAGCACACCCCAGCAGCCTCTGTGTTACATGTATTCAGCATCCCCACTTTTCAAAATGGCAGTGGGAGTGCTTTAACTAAAGCTCATTGAATGAATTCATTTTGAAGTATGGGACACTGAATACACATGAGGCTGCAGGTGCTTAAAGCCCCCCAACCCTCTACCCCAGAGGACGTGTATAGAAAGACACCCCTGAACACCAGGGTGCTTAGTAAGAGTGTAAGAGGTATGCTCTCACTTGTAAGTATTTTAATTTGTAGAAAAAAATCTATGCCATGTATTAGACATTTAGTTTCTCCTGAGAGAATTGCTGCTCTCTCAATAGAAACCAGGAGTGTATTAGTGTTCAGCATTTTTCTCTCAGAAAAAAAAATGCTCACTCTGGGAGAAAAAGAATCAAAAGACAACTAGGTTTAAATTACTCCTGGGAGAGTTTCTCCTTGAAAAGCAAATGTCTGTACATGCTTCCTTCTGAAAGAACCCACAACACAGTACTCCAGTATCTCAAGGTGCTTTCTTCCCCACCACCTCCCTGGGACAGTGTGTCTGCTCAGTCAAGTAAGGAGCAGAACATACCCCCTTTACAGTGCCCACATTATGCTACAAGGAGACACCAGCTGACCCTGAATAGCATGGGTCAGCCAGTCAGGGCTGACCTGTGCACTGATGCCATCTGTCTCCAGGCAGACTGAGAGAGCCTTCAGAGCATGCTGAGATGTGTATACAGAGTCCCCCCACACCCTTCCCCTTGCATAGATTAGCACTGCAAACTCTCTGCTCTTCACAGTATCAGCATTCAAATGCCTATTCAAGATTATCTGGGTCAGTTTTTCTACTAGGAAAACAGATCCAGGAGAATTTCTCCAAGCCATTTGAATGTGTGTACACAGCCTAAAGTTCAGCTTCTGAAATCTCAATTAGCCCCTGAATTATTCCAATGCATTCAGTCTGGAGAGTATTGGAATTGCTCTTGGTTCTACTGTAGTCCAGTGTGGAATGAGAGGTATGTAGCATCATGTTACAGGAAGGGTCTTCACCTCATCCCTTCTTATTAAAAAAGAAATACCTCCCTTTCATCAGGGTGCCAGAACAAAGGATGCTAGTCTCAGTGAATTACCCTACATTTTAAAGGACACTGTCAGATTTACAATACTAGATTTCAATCCACATTTTTAAAGAAGAGAGAGATTGTAATACTAAACTGACCCATTGTATTTTTCTTCCACTCCGTTAGCTCTTTGCAACCCTCCGTGTAAGAATGGTGGACACTGTGTACGAAACAATGTGTGTTCCTGTGCTAAAGGTTATATGGGAAGAAGATGTCAAAAAAGTAAGTTATAGTATTTCCATTCACTTTCTAAATACTCTGCTTCAGAGATGTGGCTTTGCCTAAAAATCTTTTCCCCCATGCATGTTAAATAGAACATTTATCTTGGATTAATGATTTAATCTTCAATTTTTATACCACAGCACGTATATCAGTCATCTAGGTGCAAAAGACAGAGCATTGCCATGTACCAATACATTAATGAAAATACCACTATGTCAAGCCAGTATTACGGGCAAGAATGTTTTTCTAGAATCCTTTCTCTATCTATTGTTATATATAGATATAAATGCATTTAGATTGAGTTACACAGTCTGTGTTTTGAAAGGACTTAATTATTTTGGATTAAAACTGTTGGAAGAAAAAATTAAAGCTAAATCCAAAGCAGCTGATAGAGATTCTTAAAATGTCAGATCATCCTTCTAGCACAATTAATACAGTTGGTTAATAATGGTTTTGCATTGCCTTTGTTCCTATCACTGACAACTCCCTCTTCACCTCAGCACAGCTATTCATATTTGATTCTTCTGTTCTAAAGGGAAATGTGTTATTTTGGCATTTTTACTGATTCAACTGTACTTTCCAGGGGCTGTCATGAAAGCAAGTTTAACAAGGGTAGGTGAAAACTTATTTTTTCCCTTAACCAGCTTGAAATTGGCAAAAGAGGAGCTGTGAAAACAACCTCTTTTGGCAGCAAGAAATCTGTACATTTCCAGAGCACTTTATTTTTCACACACAGAGTAAAAAGCCAGTGAAAATTTCCTTCCAGCAACAAAAGCTCTCTCAGTCCCCATACCACAGTATTCCTTTCCTTCAGCTGAGAGAATCGTGAAGCACCGTTCCTGCCTGGCTGCAAAGTACAAAATTGAATAGTTTGCTCTGGCAGGAACAAGCTGGAGGGAAAACAAACAAACAAACAAAAAAAAACCCTTCTGTTTGCCATCTTGTTTTGAGGTCAGGGTACATTAGAAAAATGCTGTTCCCAGCTTAAAATACACTACCATTTCTCAAAACAGATCAGCAGAAAAACAGTTGATAATAACTGCAGCTTTAGGGAAGTCTCTCCCTGAGTTGTCCCAACTGCTACGAACTCATACAATATTGTTTCCTTCCACTTTCAAGAAGTTTACAGGGTTTTGCTGCCTGCCTGGGTGTGCAAGAATATAACCTAATTTTTTGTGACTATCAAAAAAATTTTGTCCCATCTTATCCAAATAAAATCCCGATTCCATTCAAAACCCATAACTAGTACTTAACAGTCTGTTTTACACCACTGAATATTACACGAAGGATATTCGTTGTCTGTCACAAGGACAAAGATACACACTAAAGAACAGACAACAATCCCACTACCTTCTGGCAGCTTACCCAATCACTGACTACCAATGGATAGGAGCTGACTAAAGGATTTGTTCCTCCTTTCCTGTTTGCAAATGTTGTGGAGAGTTTTAGCAAATGTATCATTCATAATTGCTCAGGAAAATGAGGTTAATATGGACCCAAGGGTTGTTCATAAACTGTAACAAGTATCAGTTATTTTAGCTATATAATTAGTAACTTTCATCCCATGATTTGGTTTGTTCCCTGACTGTTCCCTATTATCTATGTAACACCTTCTATTGGCCTACTGGACAAGAAAGGTTTAAAAATCACTGGGATAAAAGATTTGTCATGGCCTCCAGGTGGTAGCGTAATTGTATTTTGGGTGCCTGAAGACAAGGACATCCCAACAAGAGTGACACTGATACAGCTCCCCTCCAGGGATGAAATTTGTGCAGGAAGCCTGTTCAGTGTGGTAGACAATTGGCACTGGCACAAGAATGGAAGTTACCTGTGTGTGTAGGTAGACAAGACTCCCAAAGGTACACAGGGTGTAATGACCAATTTTGAGATCTTCCAAATGAGAGAGAAACAGGTCCCAGTGGATGTGACAGAAATGAAAGAACTTATCATAGCCTTTGCCTGGGAACCAAATGGGAGCAAGTTTGCTGTGTTGCATGGAAAGACTTCACAAATTTTTGCCTCCTTTTACCATGTCAAAAACAATGGGAAGACAGAGCTCATCAAAATGTTTGACAAGTAGCAGGCAAAAATGATATTCTGGAGTCCCCACAGGCAATTTGTAGTGTTGGCTGACCTCAGAAACATGAATAGTGCCTTTGCATTGTGGTTAATACATATAATTGCACCATGATGAATATAGCTGAACACTAGACAGCCTCAGGTGTCTAATGGGATCTGACAGGTCAATACATTGTTACTTCTATGTCTTGGTGGAGTCACCAGGTGGACAATGTGACAATGTCTATGAACCTCCAGAAGAACAATAAAGATCACTTTTGCCAGCTGCTTTGGAGACCCTGACCTCCTATCCTGCTCAGCCAGGATCAGATCAAGCAAGTTAAGATATACTAAAGATATACTAAAGATATACCTAAAGATATACTCCCAGTTCTTTGAGCAAAAGAGCTCTGAGCTAATCCAAAGCGTCAAAGGAACTGGTGAAAAAGAGATATACAATGATAGAGAAGTTCAGATGGCATAGGCGCTTTACATGAAACAGAAGATCAAATATTTAGAACTTCAAGAAGGGATGCATACAGATGAGCCGGATAGCCATACAGATGACTAGGAGGAGGAGACCACTGAATTTTCTATCAATGAAGAAATGATTACCATTATAGAATCGCAGTCTAATAAAACCATGCAGCAACCATGCAGCACCATATTTTGTACTGAAAAGAGGTTTGTTCATTTTCAGAAAGTCTTCATCATCTTCAGAATTTTAGGCCATATTCTCTCACTCTGGATGGTGAATGTGCCAAGTTCTCTCCATTGTGACACATTGCTCTGCCTTTAAAAACTATTGCTTGCAGCAGCAATATTTGGAAGCCCACATGGTGAGGGGGGGAGAGCTGAGGAATCCCCACTGGCAGGAAAGGCTACGAGAAGTGAAACGAGGAGGAAGCTAAGAAGCACATATGACAGCAGTGCGTATAATAGAGGTCAAAGGCCAATGAAAAAAAGAGCACAGGAAAGCGCACATGATGGGGAGGCACATGGTGGGGAGTGTGGGGCAGATCACAGAGTAGGAAGCATGGGAAAGAGAGCACAGCAGTACAGACCGTACATGCTGTACAGACCAGGGATCTGTGGCCCATGCAGATATATCTCCCAATCTCCCAGCCACTGACAAGTTGGACAATCCTGGTTTAGATACACATATATAAATCTGGATCCTCACATGACTCCAGGAACTGTTCCTTTTTCTATAGTTAGAGTGCCTCTAATTCTAATGCTTTATTCTGGTGCTGATTATCTATACAGGCTGAGTGCTTGAGTGTTCAGAAATCTGTGGTTTGGAGAACTTCTGTCATTTTGGTGACGTTAGGTAGACACCTAATTGAAGATGATAGGACTAAGGCTGTGGAAGAAGAAGAATGGAAAAGAGTAACACATTAAAGTAAAGTAGATTACTTCTTGGTGATGAGGGTTTTCAGAGGCTGTGGGAGGCTTTGCTGTCTGGCTCTGAGATGAGGATATAATCCACCTGTGCCATGGTTGAGGATTTTTAATTTCTTTCAGGATTTATTACTTGCTGTAGTAATTGCACAGACCTAGTAGATAGGCTTATACAAAACAATGAGGAAAGAGAAATAGATAGCAATAATCTGCAGCAATAGGCTGTAATGAGTTACTAGAAGAAAGTTTATTCAGGGTTTAGTAAGATGGGAGCTCCCACTTGCAAACTATTGGACATTTATACACATGCTCTGGAAGTGGGAAGAGGGCGCTTTAATTACAGCAGCTCCTAGAGCGGCTCTGATTAAAACTCCTGGAGTGTCTTATGTATCAGCATCCCTGCGCTGAAAAATGGCAGCAGGGGTGCTTTAACTAAAGCGCCCTCATCACCATTTTTGAGTGCAGGGACACTGATACATGAGATGCTGGTGTCTGCTGGAGCGCTGCAGCAGACTCATTTACTACTCAATTAATCAACTCCACTCCAACGCGCTGTAATTCCAGCATGTTGGAGCAGCCTCACTGCATGTGCATAGGCACCCATTGGGATCTAAGTACAGGTTACTTCTAGGTGGAGGGTTACCAGGCATACGACTTGTCTGCTTGCTAGCTCAAATGCTCTCTTTTTTCTGAGAGAGTTACAACCACAACTAGTTCAGCCAAGATTAGAAATTACATCATCACAGAACTCTCAAAAAAACCCCAATTCCTATCGCATTGTGCCTGTTATTCATTTCTGTAATAAAATAAATTTGAAGATTATCATTGCACTCTTCTAGGCCTCTAGCATGCCCCTACCCCCCACCAAGTTCTCAGCGTGGATCTATTCCTAGGACCAGACTCTCTCCTCCATGTGGATGTAAATCAGGAATAGTCCCACTAGACTTACACCAACATCACATCATTGTGCGGGATCTAATCAGTCTCTAGCATAGTGAGTAGCTATCCTGGAGGTTTTAGAAGGGAAATGTGTGTAGATGGAAAATAGGTTGCTTCCATCCATCCCTTTTATAACCATAAGGAAACACCCTCTTGATTTTTTCTGTGCATTCACAAAGACACACATTGCACTTCAAAACTGAAATCCAAAGCAGGGAAAGTTAGGACTCTCATGAGGTAAACAAATGACACTTTTTGCTGGGACAAGTCTTTGCCAGTCTGCCGAGAGGGAATGGAGGCAAAACTGAAAATGAATCCAAGAATTAAGAACGCTTTCACTTTGTGCACTTATACACCCTATTTTTGGCATTTTTCCTTTTCTTTCTTGTCAATAGTTCAACCAAAGAGACTAAAAAGCAAAAAAAACCCCTCATTTGTTGTTGGCAGCTTCCAATTTTCCATTGAAGGGGCAATTAGTGCAGAGGGACCATTGGAGCAGCCAATGGAAGCATCGACGGGAAGTAAAGTTATTCTGATTCTGTAGAGCTACATACCTTGGGATTCCACTTCCTGTGTTTTGTCTGGTGCGTTTCTAAAGAAAT